GTGTAGAATTTAGCATTCTTTGCATTTTATTTCAGTTTATTAGCATTCCCTCGGGAATACGTTTTGTTTTTCTTTCCCGCGTTCGGTATAATTTACATGTTGTTAATATTCTAGCTTTTTAGTTTCATCGTTGATTTCACCGAGAGAACATCTGGTTTAGAGTTGCCTTTTTTCGCGGCCTACAGCGCCGATACAATGTAAGTTTCTAGTTATTATGTTCATCGCGTTTGCCTTAGCCGCCTTTCAGTTTTATATTTTTGCATTTGTAAACTTGTATTTTTGTTGGTTCTTCATTAGTTCAAACTTAGCTCTTCCTCTGATCGAGCGTTTGAAATCATCGCTGTAAGCGGCCACGAAAGGACACGCCTTTTGGCAGTAACACCAAGTATATCAGAGATTTATTTAGTCTTAGGGAAACCATGTACAATGTGAGAGGAACCGGTATTTGTGCGCACCTAAATTTAATCTAAGTTTTATGAAAAAATCTTTTACTTGTGTGTGCGCACCTGTGAAATGGATTACCTACAAGTGTGAAACTGGCCAATAATATCAACCTTTTTAAGAAGCTATTTCGAACATTGAAACTCTAGCTGCTTCATCATTGTATACCTTTATTCATGTGACTCTTAATTTTATTGTACAAACTTAAATTTTAATGTTAAATTTAAGTTGTTTAAGTTATCGCTTCACCATTTTATACCTGTATTTAGGTATCTCTGAATTTTATTGTTCAAACTTAAATTTGAAATGTTGCAGTTTCTAATCTATTAGGTCTCGACAGTATGTATTAGGTTTTTTAGATTCTTAATCTTAGAGGGCACGTACGTATTTTGTACTAGCTCTCCGAACTCCTTGACGCTACGTGGGTAAATAAAGTATTGATTGATTGCGAGCACTTGTAAATTGAATGGGACCATTCAATATCCCTTATTTTCTTTCTAATTCTGTCACAGAGGTACAGCAGCGTGTTTATTTGGCATAATAATTTCCCCCTTCTAACGAGCAGAATAATCTCAATTCTCAAAACTATTCTATTCTGGTGAACACATTGACTGCGGTAAAGTCTTGTAGTTGAGGAATTATCAAAAAAAAAAAAATTAAGTAAATGGAGCAAGCTGGTGAAATAACCTTGAGGTCGACAGGCCCAGAATCGTAAGGGTTTTGCAAAATGCAGTCAGACTTTGTAGGATCGCTTTCCAGAAGGCATCATCAAACTCCAGCTCAATCAATGGGATTCCCTTAATGTTTACCTATGATTTAGGTCAGCCAGTTTGCAATCGGAAGACAGACACTCTGGAGAACAAGGGAAGCCTAGATGCTTCTGTTGCCGTGTTAGATCGGAGATCAAGGGCTTTTAATGTCCACAAGCTGATAATTGATTTTGATTCATTGTAAGTACTTTGAAACTGGAAGTATAATTACAATACTGGGTCAAGCACTTAAAACTATGACTTCTATAAGTTTAGTTTCATAGGTAAGTGTTGTCTTATGATCACAGAGATAAAAAGACTAGCTGCACAGGTTGACAGAGTCTCTTTCTATCTGGGAAGTTCCTAATTCTTGTCAGCCAATCCCTTGGCTTGAAGAGTTCTCTGTGCGAGTCTGTCCTTTCAGAGATCCCCGAATTTTCTTTCGCAAATGTATGTTTTGGATCAAAGAGAGTGGCGAAAGTGTCAGCTCTTGTTTGCTGAAATGTAGCGATAGGTGAGATTCTTTTTACCGTCGGTTCTTAATGCCTCTTCCGTGATTGTACTTCTTAGGAAAACCGAAAATATGAGAGATTTCGTCGCCAAAAGAGGGGTTATGGTAGAGCAGGAGACAATTGCGCTAATTAGTGTGTGAACAGGAGACAATCGCGTTAATCAGTAGGATCATGGCGTTCATTAGAATAGCCCTTTTTACAGTTCTCGGCGCCATATTGGATGTGTAACCGCGCAAACATGACAGCGAGGTTAGTGTTGAGTCGCGTTGCGAGTTCTAGTGAGAGTTTAGGGAAATGTGGTGGTGCTCTGTCCTTTTCATCGAGATATTTCGACAATGAACAGTAATTTCCCTACGCAGGATATTCCTCCTTCTTCTTCGAAAAGAAGAGGAAGATACTGCCGCTTTTTGGTTGTGCTAAAAGCTTTTATGACACAACAGGCAATCCAACAGGTCTGCATTTCTTCTCGTTTCCAAATGACGTCCAGCAGCGAATCAGATGGTGCAATCTCCTGAGGCGCCAGCATGGAAAGGACGGATTCTTCATCACAAAATCAACTTTTTTTGTGCTCAGAACATTTCAAAACAGAAGACATGCGAAAAACCTGCGGGCAGGTCGCTGGAAGTTGGCGAAAGGTTTATAATGTTTGTACGGTTGTTTTGTTACTTGGATACCGAAAGAAAATGCTGCTTTGATTTTCGGTATTGCAGTATTTATGCTGGGATTTTTTTCTCCTTAGTAAAAAGGTGACATTTATATCTCTGTGCACTGTGGTCTTATATGATATCTGTGAACTGAATGTAAAATTATAAAATTATAATGTAAAATTAAAATGTAAAATCAAAACTTTATAAAATGATGAGTTTTATTATTATATACATGGGCAGAACCATCTCGATTTAAGTAGTCAGTACCGAAAAAACCCCGGAAAATGCCTGCTTAAAGGGTCCCAGTAGCAACTGTGACAACTCAAG